TCATTTCACAAAAAGTAGAAACACCAATTTGCTATTTTTTAATTTACTAGATCATAAAACTCTACAGATTCTATGTCTGAGCAAGAAGCAGCAAGTCAGAGGCAGGAAAAGTTGCGGTAACATCTCTGAGCGTCATTGCTGGATACACACACACGGAGGAGTTCACCCTGACCCTGAACATTAATAAACAAAAAGTTCGACACAAAATCCCTGATGTGGGATTACCGGATTACTGAATTAAAAACATATGGGGGGTTATTGCCTCCAGCAAAGAATTGTGTAACGGCTGGTGAAAACAATAGTAATTTCAGGAGTAGACTGAGAGCAAAACAATACTATCTTTGTAATTTTCTGAAAGTGTTGCATGAATAAAGCTGAGACTGGCTCCACAGCATTTCCCAGTTTGATCTGCTGACCATCTTGTCTGCCCGTAATTGTTTTCTGCCATTCATTTCCTCCAATTGTCAATTATTACTAAAACAATGATGAAAAAAATGCATGTCTTTGTTTCCTGTTACTGATGAATGCCGTGAAGTCATAGACCAGGCTAGTGCATCATCATCTTTTCCATTACAATGAATTATGCTGTCACAAACAGGATATAACTCTTTACTTGCCAAAGAGGCTGTAAACGGCGCTGAATTAGCACAAACATTGTCAGCCATGACAGCAAGAAATTGGAACAGAGACTTAGCGCTCCACTTTTGAAAAAACACTGGTTTCTGTCCCTGATTATAAAATTAGTACATGCTCATTTATTCTGGAGACAAAGTAGAATATTAAAATTACCATTACCCTGCTGACCAGAAATTCCTGTGGTTAACACTCTGGTGTATGAATGTTTAGCTCTTACTTTTTCATGCATCCATATACATATATTTTTTAAGAATTTTGTAGCCTTTTTTTCACTTAATATCCACTATGAACAGTTTCCAATGCCATTAAAAATATCTTAATGTAATTGAATGGCCCTATAAAATTCCAATTATGGAATATTATTTAACAATTACCTTATTTTTGTATCTTTAAGTTGGTTACAAAAGTGTGTCTGTTCCAAAAAGATAAAGATTCTTTTTTACATACACTGATGTCTGAATTTATAATTCTTTCCCTTAGGACAGATTCCTGAAAGAACGATTTTCCACTTTTTACTAAAAAATATATTGTGTATTTTGAAGTAAATCTTAGAATAAAAGATCTAAAAAAAATCTTAACAATAAAGGCACGTATGTGCAGTGAAAGTTTAATAATCAAACCTGATATATGTACCTGCCTAAAAGGGTAAAGAGATGAAATAATTTTAATGATTAGACAGTTTAAGATAAATCAGTGGCTGGTCTATTCAAAAGGCCCTTCAGGCCAGCCAGTTGTAAGAGTGTGTGTACTTTCATGAAGTATTTTTCCAGAATTTACTAGCATAACTAAGCCCCCACGCCATTTAAGAGCCCACAGATGATTCTGTAGTGATTTTGTGAACTCATGGTTGTGCTATTTAGAGGTTCCCAAGGAGCTTGCTTCTTTCTAAAGCCCAGCTGTGCTGATCTTGGCCTGGGCTGAACGTTGTTAGCGGTGTTACCACTAGAGGGCAGCCAGGGACAGGGAGAGGAGTCAACACACTTCTTGGTCTTGTTTTTTCTTCAGGATAATCTTTATTTCACTATAAAACAAATAAGCCACTGTGGGAAAAACACTTTTGGAAAAAGAAAGAAAGAGATAGATATAGATGATTAATAAGATAGATGATAGATAGATAATAGAGACATAGAGATGATTGAGATAGATACAGAAGAACAAAAGAAAAGAAAGAGAAAGAGAAAAGAAATAGAAAAAGAAAAGGAAGAAAGAGAAAGGGAAAGAAAGAAAAATAAAGAAGAAAAAAGAAAAGACAGAGGAAAGAAAACTTCTATGTATCAGGGGTCCTCAAACTTTTTAAACAGGGGGCCAGTTCACTGTCCCTCAGACCGTTGGAGGGCTGGACTGCGGGCCCCAGGATGAGTCAGCTGCTAAGCAGGACAGGCAGTGGCAGCAAAAATACCCGGCAGGCCAGATAAATGTCCTAGGTGGGCTGCATGTGGCCCACGGGCTGTAGTTTGAGGACGCCTGGTATAAGCTATTCCTATTTCCTTAGAGAGATTAACCAAAAGCTGCAGAATGTTGAGAGCTGCCTCAGTTGGAATCTAGTTATAGCATGAACAAGTGGTGTTCTTAGGTCTTTGCAGATGGATAAAGTGAAACCAGAACAAGATGCTCAACATTCTTTCTAGAATTTAGCAGAAGCATTGGCTTTGGCCACATACATACCTGGGTTCCATTTCTATCCGTCTCTCAGTAAGCATGGGCCAGTTGACCTCTCTGACCTACAGTTCTCCCATCTACCAAAGGTAACCAGCAATGGAACCTGCTGACAGGTGCTTGCGAGCAGGGACTGAGGTAACGGAGGCAAAAGACTTAACATATAGTCAATGATTTCCAGTCCCTCCTGCCTCCTAAGTGGTTTCTCATTTCACTTAACTATGTCTACCTTGACCATTCCATCATCACCTCAAATTTAACACATCTGAACCAAAATCTTCATCTCCTCCACAGAGACCTGCTGCTGTCTCTTGGGCCATTTCTTTAAATGGACCATAAAACATGACATCGTCTTCCACACTTCCTCTCCTCCAATGACCAAGCCGATTAGTTTACAAAACAGGTCAGATTGTTCTCAAATGTGCTTTTGGTCCCTCACTGTTTTCATCAGCACCCAGGCCTCGGTGACATGCTCTCTGCCCTAGAAGGGCCTGCCTCAAATGGGTAGATGGTACCCTTCAGTGGCTCCCGCTGTCTTAGATTTCAAACCCCGTAGCCTGGCATTGCAGTCCTGCCACAGTCTGACCCAGCCTCCCCCAGACACTTCTGCTCCATGGGTTATTAGTTCCTCTCCTCACATCAAGCTGGTCGACTCCCAGGGCCTGGGTAGGGGTGTCAGGTTTAGGTAATAAAAATACGCGGCACCTAGTTAAGTGTGAATTTCAGACAAACAAATCATATTTAGCATAAGTATGTCCCATGCAATAGGCTTCATATATACCTATGAACCAGAACACACTTATGCTAAAATGTGTTTGTTGTTTATTTGAAATTCACATCGAATTGGGCATTCTGTATGTCATCTGGCAACCCTATTCCTTGGCACACCAGGCCCCTTTCCATCTCTGCCCCTGCTCACATCTCCATTCTTTCCTTGGATGTTCTTATCTGTTTCTGCACCCGCCAGATCTCCTTCTGCCTCCCAAGGCCCTGGTCAACCTCATACCTGCACAAAGCCCACCAAGATCAGGTCTTCCTGCCACGGCATCTGTGCTCTACATTGTTAATCTGACTCCATATATAGAAAGCCCTGTGTCCTCTATACTTCCCTTTCTCCAACTTCTTTTTGAGTTTATCAAGGGTAGAGATTATAAGTTAGAAAACTTAATAAACATGCTTTGATAGTGTGGTCGTGTTTGCTAACCTGTAACACAGGGTGTGAGACGAGAGGGTAGGAAAAAGGGGATCTCCAGCACCCATTAATCCAAACTTAAGGTGCCCATAGACATAAGCAACGCCCCGATCACTAAAGCCACGTAGAGTGGCGGTTCATTAAGTGACCTTATATCTGACTCTGGGGAAGTGACAAAATGGATTCAGAGCTGATTCTGCAGCACTAGAGTGTCCCAGAAGTAAGTGCTGGGGCTTTAACTTGTTTCTTCAGCTCTATCATCTTTATCCAGACTGGTTTCATGTACTGCTTTTTTCTTGCAACTTAAGTTCAACTGAGAAATCATGTTCTTGCTATTCAAGCATATTATACTTCCCATGGAATGAATTATGATTATCTAATCAGAAAAAAGTAACCCTTAAATTCTCCCAGGAAAGAGGATAGCCAGTGGGATCCGTACTGAGCCAGAGCTGAGTCCTGGCCTCCCGCCCCGGCTCTGGCTGGCTCAGCTTGTCTGGCTCCCAGCTTTGCTATCTTCTTGCAACAGATTCTAAACATACCAATCTCAAACAGGGATAAACCGAAATAACAGCAACACATTTCCTGCTGCTCTTCCTCTTCAATAATCCACCAGAACCCTATCCCTGTGTTAGTCATTGTGGCGACATTAATCAAGTTTCTCCAAGACACAGATGTGGACATTATCAGCAGCGCATGCAAATATGGTGCATCATTTAAACAAATGTGCTTGTTTAATGGTAAAGAATGTTAAAAGAATTCGGAATGTCCCTGGAGCTTTCCAAGTTTTCTGTGGGCAGCATCAACTGTTCTTGGATTGAATCCATTTTCTTTTGGTCTTATCACTTCCAAACCCAGTGACATTTTTCCAGGCACTCAGAAGATACATGTTGAAGGAGTGTTTTGAAATTATAATTTAAATGTAAATAATCTCTATGAACACTTTGCGTCACTGGAAACTGTTCGGTGCTATTTTTGCGTGTTTCTAGAAGGTTCTCCTCTGTCTGAAAATGAATGTCCAAAAGGAGGACTCTTTGCATTAAAAAAACTTTCTCTTACCTTCATTTTACATAACATTTAAATTTTAGTTAAAAATAATTTTTCGATCATTGTCCAACTTGATTTGAGGGCCTATTTATTAAAGATCATCTAAACCAGTATGGATCAAAAATGGCAGATGGCTTATTAACGAGCACTTTGAAAAGGATGGACGAACAGGCAAATATCAAGAAATAGTTTTTTAAAATAATCAATGCAATTATTTTATCCAAGTATCGTCTAAATTCCTGATGATCAAGAAACCGAAGAAAGTAAGTGGAAATTAACTTATCTTCAGAAACAGCTACTCTTTTAAAGAAATAGTTAAATGCTGAAGATCTCATCTCTGAGGCTGATTTCTACATTTCTTCTGAGATAAAAGCTCATTGGAAAGTTACATGGGGACCTGCTCTCAAATCATCTCCACTGTCCATGGCTACATGCATTAAGACCCCATAATAGACTTAAACACGACACTCACCTGCTTTTGTGGGCGTGCAATCATTTAAAGTTCATCTCCAGGTTGAATTGTCTTTTTCTTTTCATTCATCAACTCCTAGCAAGTTTCTCTTCCATGTACGCCTAGAGGTTCCTGTTCTTTCTTCTAAAACGCCGCCATCATCTCTATTGCCCAAATCCAGTTCAAAAGTGGGGAGAGAGAAAAATAATTGAAACTTGCAAGCTGTTTGCGCCTAACAAGGACAGTGAAGCTGCTGAGCTTTGAGCTCAATGAATTAAAGGTTGTTTGGCTAAATGGCAGGCACACTTCCTCCTATTCTTTCTGAACTTGGTTTTCCTGCCTCCAGGGGAGCTTTTTCCTTTCCTGGGCTATAAATAGGTTGGTCGTAAGAGCGCTGCGGAAAGAAGGCAGGAAATGTATTTGATTTCAGAAAGCGGTTTTAGGTGTGCGTGTGTTTCTTTCCAATGAATACTATAAACAAGCTAAAGAAAATCTGGCCTCAAATAATTGAGCTTTGGTGTGTGCACCATAGTCAAAGTTTTCTTTAATTTCTTACGGTCTTGGTTTCACTATAAGTTGTTATTTCCTACAGATACTTAAATATGGCTGATTTTGCAAAATAGGAGTGTAGCTCTGAAATGGGGGGGGTGGTTTATTTTGTGTTCCTTTAATTGTTATACTATGTATGCCATGCTTTAAAAACATTAATTTTATTTCTTTTAATTTCGCATTAATATGGGGGCACGTACAATTAGGTTATGCAGTTTGCTTTTGGAAGGTTAGAGTTCAAGTTGTAGTTGTGTCCTCCACCCAGGAAGTGTGCCCTAGACCCATACGATGTACCTGTTGAGTGGGAACTTAGTCAACCCCTTCCCTCCATTAGAATTTAATTGAGTTTTTCTCTTAGGTGAGCGTGTAGTTGTTAATCTACTAGTATCCATTTGGTACTAAGTAAGTGTGATACTTGGTTTTCAAAAAAACATTAAAGACAGAATTTTTAAAACTATTATCACGTAAGATCCTTTACATACCTCATTAGCTATTTATTATCTCTCACTCACCTATTTATCTATCATTTCTCTCCCTTTCTCATTCTACACCTGCTGTCTGTCATCAAGCTGCTCTTTACAGTGGGGTGACACTTTGAGAAGGAGGACAGGGACAGGATCTGGATCTAGATCAAGGATCTCTCCATCAGAGGGGCTACTCCAAGGTCAGTCTGGAGCTCCATAGCAGCAGGAGCACCTGCCCCAGGCTCTCTGGGGGTGGGGCACAGGTGAGCAACTCCAGGTGATTCTGATTCTCACTGAAGTAGGAGAAACACAGGTCTATGGAATTATTCTGTGTGCTTATTAATATCCCATCTCCTCAAAGAATGTAAGATAGTAGATTGTTTTTAAATGTAAGCATCAGAAAACACTTTAAATGCTTTTCATGCCAGTCATCTCTATCTAGAAGACTAGAAGAGTTTTTCATACAATGTGAAGAAGACACTAATTTCCTGATTATTCTGGAGAAGCCACCCAATGGGAGGGAAACAGTGGAAAGAGCAAGCGGATGGTCATAAGAGAGAGATGCAAGAGCTCACACATTGTGAGTAGTCACGATCAGTTAGATAAATTTAAAGCACACTTCACTAACATGTATATCTGAAAATTATAAGCTGCCTGCACTCAGGCAAAAACCAAGTAAACAGTGAAAAAATAAAAGTTTCTAATGGAAACAAAATGTCCCAATCCCCATTTTTGTTTAGTGATTTGATTATTGTTTTCTGGTGCAGCCATTCCTTGTCCATCCTCGGGCTTAAGGCCAGTGCCCTGTTAATAGAAGAAATAGCTTGGACGATGAGCACAGCTGAAGCTGGTGAGGGAAAAGATTGAGTATCAGTGTCCATAACCCAGGTACAGATCGGGAGGAACGGAGTTCTTGAGAGAGAAAAAGAGAGAGAGAGAAGTGGGTGGAGGGGGAGAGAGAAAAGGAGAGAATGAACGTGAATGACTTCCTTGTATGAGCAGAAAGGAGGAGGTCCGCGGTGGTCAGGATATAACAGCTGTAGTTTTATATTTTAGCTGAAGGGGCTAAAAGGTGCATGAGTTGACTTTGGCAAGAAACTGGCTGGCAATGGGGTAATATGTTTTTGAGAGCAAACCATGCTCCCATGTGAGAAGAATGAATGCTTCTAAGAAACTCCAAGTACATTTACCAGGCTTCTTTCATTGTCCTCTGGAAATGTTCCTTCTCTTTTTGTGGGGAGATATTTCACTTCTCAAAAAGAACAACTTCGTAGGGCTCCCCATGTAGCCCATCTCTAGATGACGCATTGAAACATTTATGAGAATAGAGAGACTCTGTACTTGTGATCTAAAATTAATGGCAGATTCTCTCAAAAGGCAACAGGAAAGAAGTCAAAGGCCTTGTCAGGAAAGGTCATGTTCAACTGTCTTCAATTATTTGGGTTTTATAAGTGGAGGAAAACTCATTGTTTTAAATTTCAGCCACCTAAAAAAATTTCCATACACTGAAGTTTTCATCTGATTTCTTTCCCGAATGTATTTTTCTTCATCATTCTTTAGGAGGTTTTTGATTCTAGTCCTTTTCTTAAACTTTGTTATTGTTATTAAATTTTAAGCCTCTTTAATTTTGTGAAGGCAAAAAATGGAAACCAAATAAACACATGTACATGTACAGAGAGAATTAAAAAAAAAATTCAATACATACAACGTAGGGAAAACCTAGGCAAAAGTCCTCAAAGAAAACGCAAAGGAAATCTGTATATTATTGTTCAAATAAGCTAAATGCATTATAAGTTTCTGAGCCTGTGTACCTAACAGGTATTTTTAATAACAGCCTATCTTTGTCCACAAAGTACATAAGCTCTAGATGGTGAACAAATCGTGGGGTGTGAACTGTCCCTTGGACTTGAACTGTATCTGAAAATAAATCAGAAGTGCTGGAATGACTCCTCACAAGAACACAGGTTCAGGATGGGTCTCTAAATTTTAGCAGAAACATTGGAAAGATGGCTGAAAGCTAGGGAGGAGTTCTACCTCATAAAATATAAAAGTTAACCACTCTTTGAAGGAACTGGGAAACTTAGAGGGATCTAAATATAACGTTTCCATTAATTTAATTAAAATCAATTTGTGTTCATCAGTAATTTATTTAGCCTAATTCTCAGTAAACATAATTTTAAAGTCACCTTGCAGAATTACAAAAAAATCTTTGCACAAATAAAAGACTTCACATGTCTCCCAGGAGAAGCCTGGCCTTGGTAAAGCTCAGTGGGAAAATCGAAACCAGACGGCCTTCGCCACATTTGGCTGTGGCCTCTGTTGGTATTCTGTCTCTTTGCCATGCCCCTAAAATAAAACAGCACTACTTTCCACCATGTACAAAAAAAATTAAAAAAAAAATCTCGAGACTCTCCGACAATAAAGTCTAAAGCTTGTTCAGTTTTGTCAAAGCTGAAATCTGATGTCATGATAACTAAAGTCTAATTGCTAAAGTCTAATTGGTAAAAGTTTTTCTATTGATTCCAAAACACAGATATTCCTTTTGCTCTTTCTGCCAGTTTCATGTTCCTTTGGGAAAAGCCCTTGGATCCAATCTTAAGGTTTGTAAAGCTGATCACTGTCATAGGCGAGAAGAAGCAAAACTATCGCTGGGAGTAAAACACACGAGAAAGAAAACAGACTGTTGTAGGGACAGCAGGTGGCACGAAAGGTGGGGGGCCCCGCACCAAGAGCACTGGTGCCTGTTACCCCATTTAGTGCCACATTTGGAAGGAATGAGGGAAGGAAGGAGGGAAGAGAGGAGGGCAGTGAAACGGATTTATCCAACAGCAATTAAAATTTATTGTTTTGGCAGTCATCCTTGTCTAGTAAAAAGTGAAGCAGTCAGTAGGTTTGTTACTAAATTAATCTTTTATACAGGTTCCTTGCTTAGACAATAGATTGGGTTGAATTCACAATAGGGTCAATATCCTCTATAATCCCCTGATGTACATAATTACACAATTCATCAAAAAAGCCTAAACTGATTTTATATTGATATTGGCAGTGTGAACACAACCATGAGCTTTAGAATTCTAACACAAATTATGGGGTGAAAATTTGCCCTAATTAGATGCAGTGAGTTAAAATAACTGAGTCTTTTGGATGTGTCCAGCATGACCAAGAGACTGTCTCTCTCTCCTTGGCTGGGTTTGAAGACACAGGCTGCCGTGTTGTGAGCTATCTATGGACAGTGCTGCCCGGCAAGCAGCTGAGAGTAACCTCCCTCCAACAGCCAGCAAGAAAAACTGAAGCCCCTCATCTGACAGCCTGCACGGATCCGGATGCTGCCAACAACCACATGGGCTTGGAAGCAGATCCTTCCCGAGTCAAGCCTCAGAAGACCGAAGTCCCAGCCAGCACCTTGATTGCAGCCTTTTAAGACTGCAGTGGACCCAGTCCATCAGCAGTGGATTCCGCTAGTCCATGTCTAGCCAAGCCAGCTATAGGACAGAGTCTCCTGTCAAGATGTTTTACAGTCACATGTAAGATAATGACGCACATCCTTTCACTTTGCTGCATTCTGGTGTGTAGAAGAAAGTCACAGGTTCTTTGCATTCCCAGGGTGTGGGGGGTTTGTGTGTGCGTGACTGTGAAGAGCAGGCCAGGCAGGCTGCCCCAGAGTCTGTCTGCCACAATGGGCAACTGATCTAGAAAGAAGATGTAAGGACACATCCTACCAGGTGGTTACTAATGCACATAGGGACAGTACTACCCAAGGCAAGACAGACAAAATAACTCCATTTTCCTCTTTCAAACCAGTGAGAAGGGCCCCGCCTTGATCAAGATCAAGTCATCTCTGTAGCATTACACATTCTGGAGCAACTCGGTAACCCAAATGTCCTCCTGCTCCATCTCTGAAGTCCTTTGAGCTCTAAGCCTCTGTGACTTCAGACTTGCCCTTCAAAGCCTCTCAAGCCATTTTGGAATGCCACAACTCTTGGCTGTATTTATACAAAGCATCGTGATCACCACTGCATTATTGTTGACATTTTAATAGGACAATGCAGGGGAGAAAGGACATGTACACTAGATCGGTCCCTAAGGAAAGTTCAAAGCCCAATCTAACAGGGTGTGACTTTCTGATCCCTTTTGTGAATTTCCATGC